TGTTGAAAGCAGAGTGGCTGGGTTGGCTAGCGTACTTTCTGAAGCACTAAGGAAAAAGGAGGATGTCCACCTCTCTGGTTTTCCGTGGGACAGAGTGAGATCCAGGGCTGCTGCGATGAACCCAGGCTCCATCTGTGTCACCTCTGCGCTGTGCTGCTGTCCCCAAGGAAGCCAGAGGGAGGGATAAAAACACATCCGGTGCAGAACGAGGTTACGCAGAGCCTGGGTTAATCAGCACGGCCCTTGAAGTTCCGGGAGGTGAGTCTGCTGCTTCTGTGAAGTTCTGTCCTTGACCCCAAACCGCTCAGGCAGCTCTGAAGTTTGTACTGTGTTATGTTTGGGGACAAGTATCTTTAGAGGTAAGAGTCCTAGTTTTTCCCAGAAAGGCCTTCCCCCCTTTTTCTTGAAGCATATAAACAGGACATCTCTAAGAATCCATCTCCTAACCTGTTCTCCCTCTACCACCAGTGGCCAAGTAGGCACCATTCAGGGTGTGGCCCACGGTGGTGGCATCAGCACCTTGGAAGGTGGCCCCCGCCCACACACACCTGCTGCATCACAGTCTTGGGGCCTGGGCCCCAGCCTCGGCTCAGGGACTGGGTGCTAACAGAACCAACCCCTGTTGGTCTCCCTGCATCCTCTCCCACTTCCATTCCAACCTCATCTCTCCTGCTTGTTCCAGCCAGAATGGTCTTTTCCAAATATATGCCTCTCTCGAGGGAACCCCTCCACTCCCTGCCTTAAAACTGCTTAGGGAGTTGGCCTCACCCTAACAGCACTGGCCCCCCAAGTGGCATGCCCCCCACCCCAAGCACCTCTCCATTCATGCCCTTCCTCCCTCCAACACCCCTGTCCCAAGACCCCTTTCCAGACCCTCACACCCTCCAAGCTCCCTCCTGCCCCAGGGCCTTTGTGCAGCTCAGCCCTGTCTGAATGCCTCCACTAAACTCCCCTGATTGGCGGTGAAATCTGGAGGACAGGTAGTCACCAATCAGGGGAGAGTATACGGGGGGGGGCATTCAGACAGGGCTGAGCTGCACAAAGGCCCTGGGGCAGGAGGGAGATTTCGGCCAGCATTGACTCCCCAACCCGGAAGGTAGGTAAGACAGCTGATGTTGAGAGCAAGCTGAATTCTGCCTCTGCAGCGCACTCGTCCCATTTTGTCAGGATGCCTTCACTGGTGGGGATCTTTGCTGAATGTAGTCCTCCCCCCGGGCCGGATGCGTCCTGTGGGCAGGGACCCTCAGCTGAGTTCAGTGTCTGGCATTGAGGAGTGACTCAATAATGAATTTGTTCACAAAGTCAAAGGGCTCGCTCTTGCTCATTGGAGCTTTGGGTCTTTGTTTCCTTCCAGTGACACTGTAGTAACAACAGCAAGCACGTACTAGGAACCGGGGCACGCACTGCTCCGAGCCCTTTGCATCATCAGTTACCTCCAGGTGGCAGGTGTAGCCTGTCAGGTAAGAAGTCAGACCACACCATCACCCTGTTGGTAGTTGGCGCCACTACGCTGCTGCCGAGAAGCCGAAGTGGACAAAGCCGGCACCCTCCTTCCCTGTTGGTGGGGATGTACACTGGTGAAGCCACTATGGGAAACAGTATGGAGGTTCCTCAAAAGAAGCTAAAAATAGAGTTTCTGTATGACTCAGCAGTCCCACCCCTGGGCATATATCTAGATGAAATGACAGAAAGATGACGTGCACCCCAGTGTTCACTGCAGCACTATGTACAAGAGCCAAGACATGGAAGCAACCTAAATGTCCATCAACAAATGAAAAAGATGTGGTACATATATGTAACGGAACATTACTCAGCCAAGAATGAAACGATGCCATTTGCAGCAACATGGATGGACCTAGAGATTATCGAACTAAGTCAGACAAAGACAAATATTATATGCTGTCACTTGTATGTAGAACCTAAAATTGGACACAACTGAACCTATCTATGAAACAGACTCACAGACATAGAGAACAGACTTGGGTTGCCAAGGGGGAGATGGGTCGGAGAGGGGGGATGGAGTAGGAGTTTGGGCTTAGCAGATGCAAGCAAGTATATATAGAATGGATAAAGCCACAAGATCCTACTGTGTAGCACAGGGAACTCAATATCCTGTGATAAACCATTATGAAAAAGAATGTGTATATATGAATCAGTCTACTGTACAGCAGAAATTAACACAATATTGTAAATCACCTGTACTTTAAAAACAGGAGGACAAGGCTGAACATGAAGGTCCCCAGGGCTTGCTCCCAAGTACCCAGCAAAGCCCACTCCATTCATTCTCTCTGGTCTCTGAAACCTGGCAGACCAGGCAAGTATTCTTCCTGTTTGTACGCTTATAAAAGGTTAAATTCCAAACTTGTTTAAAGTACTTCATAATGAAACCTGATTAAAAACCTAATGAAATATAAAATAGGGTCAAGTCCAGAGAGAGAAAACTATTTAAGAACCAGAGGAAGCTCTACTTAATTTTGTTGTTAAGCTGGTGAATTCATTCGAGGTTTGCACAGTTACCTTCAAGGTCAGCGCTTCTGGGAACAGCAGGGTTTGAAAAGGAAGTTTCCTGAGTAAATATTTAATGTCAGATAGAGCCATGCTTCTCAAAGTGGGGTTTACCTTCAGAGGTCAGCAGCACCTGGGAACTTGTTAGACACACACATCCTCTCCAGGTCCCCACAGCCCTGCTGAATCAGAAACCTTGAGGGGAGATCCTGCAACCTATGTGTTAATAAGCCTTCCAGGAGATTCTGAAGTGCTTCAAGTTTGAGAACCACTAAATACGTAAAAGGGGGGAAAAACCCTTTTACCAAATGTGAAAAAGGGTAAGGTTGTGGAATACCCACGCAGTCCATTCAAAGCAGTGTGAGAAGTTTAGGGCATTTCCTGTGAGAAATGGAATATTTCTTGACATCAGCTAACAAGCATGTCACAGTCATCAACGATTTCAGCCCTCCCTGTGAGCTAGTGAGCCTGAGGAGACTCAGGATACTAAAATGTAGGATATTGGTCCCAGATAGATGAGGTACATGTCAAAGGAATGACTTCAGTGAGCCCCATACATAGAAAAGTGCTAAGTTCCTTAACCTGGGATATCTGGTTTTCTTTAAATGACAATCAGCTTTTGGTGTTTTTGACATAACTTCTATATAACCTGGCTTCCCCCACCACCCACCTCCATGCAGTTCCCTCAGTGTTAACTTGAGATGCTGTCTCCTGTGCTTAAAGTCCTAAAAATTCCCACCAAATAAAACATAACTCTCAACTTTTAGGTTGTGAATATTCTTAAGTCCACAGTTATGGCGACTGATAACTGATGACCGGAGCAGATTCTTCTCCTTTGCCTGAACTCAGCCAGGTTTATGTATGTACAGGATTTAGAAGTACTTAATTGAAAATTGAAGGAAATCTTGCCCTAAACATGAGGGGGGGAGGCTTTTTTATTGCATACAGAGTTAAATTAAGGCTAAAAAGCTGGCTTGATAAAAATATCTTTTTGAATTCTGAATTTAAACAAAGGCCTTCTAGTGGGGAACTTGCATTTATCTGTGTCTTTGCTTCTACCTGATCGTCCTAGGAGTGAGTGAGTGAGTGAGTGAGTGAGTGAGTGAGTGAGTGTGTGTGTGTGTGTTTTGAAAACTTGCCCTCTGCTATACTGTTTTTGAAAGTAAACTCCCCAGGCTTTATTTATACCCTCCCCTACTCTTATGGAGAAGTCTCCTGCAGGTTTGAATCACTATTAATATATATTTTAATATTGGCCAAATGATGGATCCTTTTAAAATTGGAGAAACTAACAAATTGGTGAATCTAGAGGGCTCCCATTATAAATAGCTATTTTATTGGTACTTACAAAAACAAACCAGAGGTGGAAAATATGTATTCAATGGTGAAATTATGAAAACCTTTGACGGCAAGATAAATGCTCAAGTTCTAAGACATAGAACTCAAATTTCAGTTAGAAATCTTCTCACTGATACATAACATATAGATGGACAAATCAATCTTTTTAACTGGCAGACTTATTCTTTGAGGGAATTAAAAGCAACTGTCTTTCTCTTGCAAATCTCTACAAACCAGAATGTATCACTAAATACAGGCCACAAAGACCTGAGTCTGAGCCTAATTAGCTCAATCAGTTAAGACCTGAAACCAAGGGAGGAAAAAAAAAATGACAAAGTGGCAGTTTTAAAATTCAAACCGCTGGGAATGCTCCCTCAGCCAGACTTCACAAATAGTAAAGCTTTAGTCATCTGAACAAGCAGTTCTAATGTATTTCCAACTGTACTTTATAAATTAGTAAGTTTATATTGTAATACCATTCATAGTTTTTTTTAAGTGAATCTGTTGCAGGATGGGGGACTCCTTCTGAGGCCCAAAACTGGGCTCTTGTCTAACACTCGGAAATGAATTGTCCGAGGAGACACGTGCTGACAAAGCAAGAGGGAAAAGGCCCTCTTGGGAAAGGGCCCCGGCAGAGAGCCTTAGGGTAAGGGAGCCCAGGAGAACTGCTCTGCCACTGTGCTTTTATGGTGATGGGATTAGTTTCCCGGTTGTCTTTAGCCAATCATTCTGACTCAGAGTCCTTCCTGGTGGCGCACGCCTTGTTCAGCCAAGATGGATGCCAGCCAGAAGGATTCTGGGAGGTGGTCGGACAGGTGGTGTCTCCTTTTGACCTTTCCCAAACTCTTCCCGTTGGTGGTGACTTATTAGTTCCGTGTTCATTACCAGGACCTCCTGTCGTAAAACAGCTCATGCAAAGGGTTACAGTGGTGCCTGGCCAGGGTGGGCGGTTTCAGTCAGTGTGCTGCTCCTAACAAATCCATGAGATGTTTAGTTTTGCCTGTTTATGCCTGTGAACACATTATACATACGAGATATCTCTACCTGTGGATATTATCATCAAAATTAAATTTTTAAAGAGTGCTTACAAATTAAAGAAACTGGCCAAAATGACCTTCAGGTTCATGTGAACTAGGAAGTATTCAACGTTGAGTTGAAACCTGTTATTAAAATTTAGGTTTATTGATCTAGATAATATAGACATTTCTTTAGAGTTATCAGTATTAAGTATAATTAAGTATTGTACCTAGGTTTGAAAAGTGAAAGTGTTAGTTGCTCAATTGTGTCTGACTCTGTGATCTGATGGATTGTAGCCTGCCAGGCTTCTCTGTCTATGGAATTGAATTCTCTAGGCAAGAATACTGGAGTGGGTTGCCATTCCCTTCTCCAAGGGATGTTCCTGACCCAGGGATCAAACCCACGTCTCCTATATTAGCAGGTGGTTTCTTTACCATCTGAGCCATCAAGGAAGCCTAGGTTTAACAGAAGTTAAATAAAACCCTATTCTATATATTGCAAGGAAAATGACTTGATACTATGAGACTTGATGAGCTTTTGGGTAAACTCTTTAAAAATATTTTAGAAATGCCTACTTAAAATGATCTTTACAGATATTGGTAACTTACAGTACTAAAACTATGCTAATTTAAGTGATGGAAGTTTATTGACTAGCTAGATAATTTCCAAAAAGAAATAAGATACTGAGACATCAGTTACTAAATAGAAAAACTAAAAATATTTAGAACTATTAATGAAACTATTTGGTGCCACCTGAAATGCTGTTAGAAAACAATGTTTTTAGAAATTATTACTGATATTTATGTTCACCAGGATACAAGATACTAATGTAAAAGTTCATATTGCTTACTTCTTAGCTTTTACTGGAAATTAGGGTTTTTAAGAGTTGAGGATTCTAGTCGTGGTCCATATACACAATGGAATATTACTCAGCTATAAAAAAGAATGCATTTGAGTCCGTTCTAATGAGGTGGAAGGATCTAGAGCCTACTATTACACAGAGTGAAATAACTCAGAAAGACAAATATCATATATTAACACACATATAGGGAAGCCAGAAAGATGGTACTGATGATCACTGACAGTTTACCTAATCACTGACAGTTTACCATGTAGACACCTTATGTGATATTTCTAGATGGAAGGTAATAATTTGAATTACTCTCTAAAAACAGTGCATGTAGGCATTTTTAGTTTATAATATGGTGATATATTCATTTTTAACTGGAATCCCACAGTACCTAATAGTCATGAATAAATTTATGGACTTGTTTTTCAAAACAAAGTTGAGGATTCTAATTTAAACATGTAATTAAAACTTCTAGGAATTCTATAGAAACATTTCAATATTCAGTAGGAAATACAATGTGTTTTCAGTAAAGAAGGTATAAGGAATGGAATTGTATTTTATTGAGGAAAAAGAATATGTTGGTTGGTTTTATTTGGAAGAAAAAAATATAAGGGACAGGCTGATACAGATATAGAAACTGAAGAAAGATTGTGGAAATGAAACCTGAGAAACAAGTTTTATGCATGGTTAGGATTAAGATTAAATTTAGATTGAAGTTAACTAAGTAAATGGATCTTGTTAAGTAAACTAATGCAAGACTGGAATTTGATTTCTCTGTTAGAAGTGCTCCTCTTTGGTAACAGATTGTGTGAGTTTCTGTGCCCTGCAGGAGAGGTAAGAGATTCAGGTGCTATCCCTTTGGGAAGATCCCCTGAAAGGCATGGCAACCCACTCCAGTATTCTTGCCTGGAGAATAATCCCATGGACAGAGGAGCCTGGCAATCCACAGTCCGTGGGATTCCTAAGAGTCAGACACAACTGAAGCAACTTAGCACGCACAAACAAGTGGTCCATATTTGTTTTCTTGTTTTGTAACTTCGGTTAAATGATGAGTATTGTTTAACCTGTGATCCTATTGCATTTTAAACCTCTTTGATATTTTTATCAAACTCTTAGCTAAAGTTCTTTTAGCCTCCAGTTGACTCTGGGATACTTCAAAGGAACATCTCTGAAAGATCTTGGAGAGGAATATTAAACTAAGTTTATTTGGTATGTTAAATTACTTCAGAAATATTGTCAACTAATTGAAGATGAACCTTAGGTTATAGTGCATGGATAAATGTCATTAATATATTCCAAAATTTATATGGAATCCCTACCCTCTGATATGTCCTGATATAGTGTTATTAATCATAATTCTAGTTATTATCCTAAAATGTTACATCACAAAAATATCCAAGGTTCCTGCTAATTGCATTGTACTTAAATCTTTAACCATACTATTTTAAGCTTTGTCCTTTATAGACAATAATTATTTTACACTGATGCTTTTACAAAATGAAGATGTTTCAAGAAGACTCATAAAAAGAACTTTTTAAACAAAAATCTCTGATAGCTTTAGATGATGCCATTGAAGTGGGTAACAAGTGACAAAACTAATGGAATATCTGATTCTTTCATCCAGATGAACAGGAATTAATTACATAGGACTGAATGAATGGTGAATAGGATTTATAACTATGACTTTTGTCAATGGTACTAGCTGTATTACTTATCTTGTCTATTTTATAATATCGTGTCTATTTTGTGAAATTGTTGTCTTTTACAGTACCCAATGTGCAACCGGGCCTCCAACAAAATTGATGATGGCTAAACATCTTGAGGAAATTGATTATATTTATGACTCTTATAATTTTAAGTGTGATTCCAGGTATGGGAATAGGTGACAAGGGAAAACATTTCCTGGATCCTAATAAGACAGAGGGTCCAGAGAACACTTCATTATCAACAGGGCCTACTCTGGAGCTTTGCACTTGGAGTGCACGTCAACAGGAACTTCTGCCTGATCTGGGATGAGCCTCCCTGTGCCCTGGGATAATAATTGGTCATGAAATGTCTCCCAGATATTGGTCAAATTCTGGTTCAAGAGAAGGATCTGAGAAATAAGAATATTTCCGGCCATATCAGTACACAAGGATGTCACAGTCATCAGCGACTTCAGTCCTGCAACATGAGCCTGAGAAACTCAGGAAAGACAAGAATACCTGCCATCTAGCAACCAGCCTGCAGCCACTCCCTACAGTGAGCCCTGAGGAAACTCAGAATGGGGAAACACTGCATACGGCCCCAGCTAGGTGAGGTACATATCAAAGGAATGATTTCCATGAGCCCCAAACTTCTTGCATCTGCCCATACAGAGAAAAGTGCTAAATTCCTGATCTTGAGATAACTGGTTTTCTTTAATTAACAATCATCTGGTTCTGACTACTGCCCTTTGTTAAAAAGTTCTGTGTAATGTAGCTCCCCCTCATGGCCCCCTTGGAGCAGTTCTCTGAGGGTTACTTTAGATGCTGTCTCCTGGGCTTGAAATCCTAAAAATTCCCACCAAATAAAACATAACTCTCAACTTTAAGGTTGTGAATATTTTTTTAAGCCCACACTGTATGTTGAATAATAATTTTTCTTAAACCTACTTTTTTGAATTTTTAAAGTAAATCTCCTGGTGTTCTACACTGTGGAAACCTGACCCTTCCTTTCCTCACCTGAACAAACACCCCCAGAACATCCTTTTATCTGTCACAGCAGGGACACTGGAAGGTAAAAGTTTCCCCCAATTTAAAGGCTTAGATGTTCATTTCTTAGTGACTGAATTATTAAGAGAGTACAAGGCACATTTTCAGAGCTCACAACAAGCCCATTTATGAAGAGGAACCACAGGCAAAGAGAGGTTAAGAAACCTTCCCCCAGACCCACACGCAGACCTACCTTTGATTGGCCACCTCTGTAATGAACACCTGGGGACCAGGAAAGTCAGCCATGCCAGCTCAGAGCACCCGGGGTCGGTCTGAGTAATCAGAAGCCCTTTAGGATTTGGCAGCTAACTTGGGGAAACTCTAACACCATAAAGATGAACACTGGACAGTCATTTCATTTGAACTTGAAAAATTTCGTTATTTACCTTGAAGTGGGTTTCTTTTTTGATGGTGGAGGGAGGGGAGATTTTCCTGGTTTACTTCGCTTGTAGTCATCACTAGGCGTTTACTTAGGTCCCACGGGTGGTTGTTTATGCAATCCTTGTGTGAGCCACAGCCAAGGACATTCAGCGCTTTGTTGAAAATGATACCCCAGGGAAGTGGCTTTTCCTCACTATATATATACACACACACATACATATATATACATATATTAATAGTAATGTATTCGCTGTACTGCCACAAAGCAAGAATTCCCATGTATCATATCTTATCTACAGCAGTGAGGCTGCAGGGAAAACTGTGTACACAGATGTTGCTGAAACTTTAGGAAGAGTTCAGGGCCTCATAGACGTGAAGTGGAAGGTTTGCACCACAGGGATGGTGGACGGGTTTTTAAAGAGAAGAGAGGCAATAAACACTCATTCCATCTGTCCCCTAAACTCAAAGAACCTCACAGAGACCAAAGAGAGAGTTTGAAATTGCTATTTTAAAAAGGCACAGCAGTCCACCCCAATGTTCATAACAGCACTGTTTCCAAGTAGCTAGAATGTGGAAACAAGCTAAATGTCCTTCAACAGAGGAGTGGGTAAAGATGCAGTGCCTACATGCAATGGAAGATTACTTAGCCTTAAAAATGAACAATGCCACTTGCAGCAACACGGATGGACCGAAAGTTTGTCATACTGAGAGAGGTGAGGCAGGAAGACAAATACATATTATCACTTATATGTGGAATCTTTTTTTTTTTTTTTAAGAAGAAGATATAAATGAACTTACAAAACGGAAATAGAGTCACAGGTATAGAAAACAAACTTATGGTTCCCATGGGGTACGTGGAGGAGGGATAAATTGGGAGATGGGGACAGACATACACACACTCGCATATGAAAAACAGGTAACTAATGAGAACCTAGTGTAGAGCACGGGGATACTCTGTTCTCTGTAATGACCTGTCTGGGAAAAGAATCTAAAGAGTGAATATATGTATAACTCATGTACTTTGCGGTGCAGCAGAAACTAACACACTTTAAATCAACCACTCCAATAAAGATTACTTTTTAAAAAAAAAGGCATAGCAGAAAAGAGTTTTGGTAGAAAAATGGATCAGACTAAGTAAGTAAGAAAACCTAATTCTCTCCAGCTTCTGGCATACTGGGGTGCTTTGGGGGACCTGGAGCTCTGCTGCTGATTTCTAATGGGTAGCACAGAGTCCAGAAGCAAGGAGAGCTAAGGAAGGTGAAAGCTGGGAGCTGCCTCCGGTCTGGGACACTCTGCCATCTTAGCCGAGCAGGTGGGCGCCTCCCAGCAGCCCATCAGTCACATCTCAAGGGAATGAAATCAGGGGTTGGGGTGGACACCAACTGGAGCAGAGGGGCTGCTGTCATGGCTTCAGGGGGTACCTGTGACTGTGCAAAGACCTCCACCTGGCCTTGTCCCACTGCAACTCCCACACAGGTCAAGTAACCTGGCTTAGGCCACATGGCGTGGAGTTTCCAGAGCCACAGGTCTCTATGCTCCAGAACCAACACAGTGAGCCCACCCCACTGCTGCTATTTACTGCATCCTGGCCCTTGGACGGTATCATCTCAGTGAGGCTCGGAGCATCTCTGGGGAGGGAAGCAGTGTCGTCATCTCCATTTCTCAGGTGAGGAACTGGCTCAGAAAGGCCGAGACACTTGCTCAAGGCCGCACGGCTGGTGAGTGGGTGTCAGGCCCCCAAATGTCTGCTGCCAGCCCTGCTGAGGGGCTTCATCCTTCCTTTCCTGGGCAGCACCCCCCACACACACCTGCCTACCACTATGTGACCGACTGCCTTGCCTTCAAGACTTCTTACCTGTCTTCTGCTTGAAACTGGAGCTCGGGCAGAGACAGCACTGGAAATGTGGGGGGAAAGCCATGCCCTCCTGGAGTGAACCTCCAAGGCTGTTCCCTTGAGGCCTAACTTAAGTGGAAGAAGAGGGGTGTGTGGGTGTGTGTCTTTACAACTGTGAAACGCAATCCACTTTTTTTTTTTTTTTACACCATTTCTTTTTGTACAATGCTTCCAGGAATGCCCCTCAATGGTTAGAGCCACAAAACAAAATGGGAGGGAAAAAAAAAAAACAAAACACTGTTGTAGGACCAAACCGCTCAAAACTCAAAAGGAGTACAGACATACACGATAGACTGTGAAAGTCCCTTATTCTGTCCCTAGAGATAACCACTTGTTTAGAAGTATTTGAATATTTTTTATGATTACAAAAGCCATAAAAAGCTACATTAAGAGATACAGCAAAATGAAAGTAAACGCTTCACTGTTCAGGCTTCCTTGGCGGGCACAGGGGCCGAGACCACAGCCGCTGATGCAGCTCACCTCCTGGAAGGCTGCCAGCGCCCCCGCCCTTGACCCTCTTCTCTCTGACTCCACAGATTGAGGAGGCAGAGGCTGACCTGCAATCCTTTTGAAACACCAGTCAGGTCACAGGGCTCTGGCCTCCGCTGCCCGTGGCCACATGGGATCCACCCCCTCGTCTACTGTTCCCCACGCTGTCTCCCCGTAAGGCCTTCACATGCCGTCCCCTCAGGTGTCACCACGGCCCCTCCTCCCCCAGTCAGAGCCCCCTGACCGTCCAGCTGACCGCCTGCTGCCGTCTACAGCACACCCCTCCCTCCCATCTCCGGACCCTGCCCTGTGCTGTCATCGCACGAAGCACAGGTCACCGTTAGACTCTTAATGTGATTTACCTGTGATCTGATCTTCCTCCAGACCCAAAGGCTAGCATAACTGACTCCTTTGACCACTCATGTATCCAACACTTGGCATACAGTTGGTGTCAATACATGTTTGTTGAAAGAGAGACCACGGACCCCATCTTTGCTGAGGCTGGGATGTGAACAGACCCTTCTCAGCCCAGCTTTGCCAGCCCATCCTGCATGTGTGTGGTTCTGGGGGGTGGCCTCCTCTAAGGGGTGTTCACACCACTCAAGCTCTGGGGAGCGGAAAAGCTCAGATATGGACAGGAAAGCCCACATTTGAGGGCTCTTGTCCCAGAGGAGGCGGCCTTCCCTGGGGCACTGACCACAGGCCATCAGAAACAAGCCCAGGCATTTGGGAGGCATTTATCCTTGTGGAGCTGAAGGATACACAAAACAGCTTATAGGCTGCCTTCCCTGAGCTCCAGACTAGGTCAGGCTCCCCCGTTACTCACACAGCACCCTGTACTTCAAAACAATTCAGCAAAGAATTAACTATGATTTTGCCGTATCCTATTTCTCCATTAGGCAATAAGCTTCAGAAAGCCAGGACTCGGCACATTGTAGGTATTTTGAGGAACAGCTGACCCACTTGCTCATGCAGTGCCCTGCTTGCTCTGGCTGATGGGCATGCTTACTGCACTTCTGATCCTTCCGGAGACATTCAGTGCCCCTTTCCTCTCAAAATCACCAAACAAACTGAGACACTAAAGCCAAACAGATGGCACAACCAGCTTTGGAAGAAAGTGTCTTGGTGAAGACACCCCTGTTTCCATGGAATCAGTGTGGTGTGGTAGGAGTGACTTAGGACCTAAAGGAAAGACCTAAACTTTGTTACTTGCAGCTAACAGCATTCATAACCTGCCTGACCAGAACTGTTATATCAGAATTATCACCCAGAACACAAAGCCTGAAGGTGAATCCAGCAGGATGAAATAATTCAACGATGCCATCAAAAGCCCAGGCTATTGGAGCCCCTTCTGCTTGATCACCCTTATCACTTCACGGTCACAAGAGGGCTGCTGCTGTTCAAGGCATTACCTCCACCTTCTGGAAAGAGGAAACAGGAAGTAGAGGAGCCAATACTATCCCCTTCCTTTCATCAAGAGACATAAGCTCGCTAGAATCCTCCACCATCACCCAGAAGACTTCTACTTACATCTCAATGGCCAGAACTCGATCAACTGGCCTCCCTACCCACACTAGAAAGATAAGGATTCATATAGAGTGGGCAAGCTGAGACAGCAAGGGAGGAGTGAGTCAGTAATAGCTATAGGGTTAGCCAGCCAGAAGTATCTGTCAAAACCTATGTAAACTATTTTTAATAGAACTGTTTTTGTGGGTTTTCTTATAATAAAAGCAATGGATATATATTACTTTAGAAAATAAAGATTTTAAAACATCCCTCCAATCCCATCATACAGAAGTAATCACTGTGTATTCCATTATTATTAACCTTTGTTATTATCCTTTCAGATCTTTATTTTTTTAACATGGATGAAATCATACTATGTGTTGTTCTGTAATTACCCTTTTCATTTGATAGGATGAAAAATCTTAACAAATCATTAAATGATCTTTGCAGAATCATGTCTGTGTGTTCCACTGGATAGAGTACCATTGTTCATTTGATCCCTTGGCGTTGGGCATTTTGACATTTATAAAAACAGAATTAGAAACCAACACTAAGGTCTCCCCTTGTAGC